TGGGAGAGAACGAATGTGGGCTGGAATGTCGGCACCGGTGAGGATCTGAGCGGCTTCCTGCGTGAAGTTGTTGCAATTCCACGAGAGCAGGTTGTAGTCTTGTGCACGGAAGCGTTGACGGAGGTCGGGAAGCAGCGCTCCATCGAAGGTCTCGCGGTCGATCGAGGTGGTGCCGAGGTCGAACGTCTCGAGCGGAGCACCGTGATGCGAGGTGCCAGGATAGACGACCGAGATGCCCTGACCGAAGAAGTACTCGCGGTCCCAGGCGACGATGCTGGTGTGCCAGATGCCATCAATCTGGCGACCGGTGAGCGGGAGCGACATTGAGCGAGCCATGCCGCGCGAGAGGTCGTAGACAAAGAGCTTGACCGGGTAGCTCGGCTCGCCCGAGTCGGACTGTTGGTCCGTCATGTTCGGTAAAGCTGCCGATGCGTAGGATGCGAGTGGCGCGTTTGGTCGGTGTGATTTGACCGCGAGTGAAGGTGATGGCGCTTAAAGACACGCTCCGCGGAGAGGCTTCGTCGCCCCCTTCTGTAACTTTTGGCTCAGAAGAACGCGCGTATGGGCTGAGCCAGGAAGGAAAGTGACAGAAAGTGCAACACGCGAAAACCTCCACATGAAAACCTTCTGGATTGTTAGACTGACAAAGCAACATTCGGCGAGAAAGCTTTTGGCGCGCGCCGTTTTCACGAGGTGCGGTGGGACGCAGGAGCCAGCCTGTTCTCACGCCTCGGCAGCCACCCTTGCATGTTGCTCTGTCGGCGGGCAGCGAACGGTGGCGCCATTCACATCTGTCAAGCCGCGTCGAGAGCGGTTGTGCTAGTACACTCGGAGCAAGATCCGGTGTGAAAACGGTGGTTGGGAGATGCGAGCGGAAAGCGGTTTGCTCGGAGGCGGAGAAGCTCGAGGCCCGGTCATGCGACTGGAATGGATTTTCTGCTCGACACACTCGGAGTGCTGAGTGTTGCTCGATTGGTGAGCCGTGGTACAACACCTCTCAGAGTGCGCCCGCTCGCGTCACGCGCGCGTTGGGTGCTGCACGCTGGTGGCACCCGTGCACGCTTGGACCCACCCGCCTCGTGCTCTTTTGCCCGGCTTTGGTCCGCAGGGTCCGCAAGCGAAAGCCCGAACGCGAAAAGTGGCACTTGGTCCTGGCGTCACACCGCGCCGCCACCGTGCACAACTGCGCCGCCCTGGCCGCCTGTGCCTGACCTGACCTGACCTGGCCACACTAGCCAGAGCCCACCGCAGAGCACACTGCATCGGAAGCCTCTTGCGGCTGCATCCTCGCTCTTGCCCTTGCCCATCTGAGTTGTACTGGCGCCATCTTGCACCCCACCCTTCCATCCATCCATCAGCTCCACACTGCAGACTCCTCCTCCATCCACGATCCAACGATGGTGAAGGAAGTCGTCTCTGCCACCGAGTTCGATGCCGAGCTCCAAGCGGCTGGCTCCAAGCTCGTCGTCGTCGACTTCCACGCGCTCTGTGAGTGCTTCGTCCCAACGCACAATCTCTCGCCGAGTCGACACGATCTTCTGACACTCCTTTGCAATCTCTATCTTCAGGGTGTGGTCCTTGCAAAGTCATCGCGCCCGTCTTCCAGCAATTGGCAACAAGGGTTCGTGCTTCTGCTGTAGCGACAGCACCGACCCAGTAGACTGACCTTTCCCCTTTCTTTCACCTTGCTCGACCTACAGCATCCCAACGTCACCTTCCTCAAGGTCGATGTAGACCGCGTGCAAGCCGTGGCGCAGCGCTACCGTGTCCGCGCCATGCCCACCTTCCTTTTCCTCAAGAACAAGAGCGTCGTCGACACTCTGCAGGGCGCTGACCCTAACCGACTCACCGCACTGGTCAAGCAGCATTCTTCCGGCGCCTCCTCAGCCTTCTCGGGCTCGGGTCAAACGCTCTCGGGCTCTGGCTCGTCCAATTCCAACTCCAACTCTTTCGGCGCACGCGCCGTCGCAGGCATCACCGATGGCCATGTAAGCTTCGAAAACCTCCTTCCCCTGCTCGTTGTCGGCGCCTATCTCGTGTATCTCTTTTTCGGCTAGCTAGCCTCGCCATGCCCATCACCGACGCTTCTTCAATACACATCACATCCTCCGCCTTTGGCCGTCAGAGCATGTCGTTTTGCCTTCCAAGAGTTCGACGTTGCTGACCCGTCTTGCTTGCTTTTGCGTTGTTCCCCGTCCTATCTACGATGCCAATCATGCCGTGTCGCAGACCTCGCTGCTCAAGGTCGTAGAGCCCAAGCAATCTTCGGCGCTCAACGAAAAGCCGGACCGCCGTCTCCACGACATTCTCACCGGACCAAGCGGCGGCAAGTGGCTCGAAAGCGATGCCGACGACCAACTCCTCATCTCCCTCTCATTCAAGCAGCAAGTCAAGCTCTCTGGGATCCTACTCCGTACGCTCCCCTCGCACTTGGCACACGCTCCCAGGCAAGTCAAGATCTTCGTCAATCGACCTGGACTCGGCTTCGACGATGCCACCACCGAAAACGCCGATCAGGAATTCGAGCTTTCCGACGAACACGTTCGAGGCGCCGAGAATGGAGGCGGAGGCAAGGCCTGTTCGCTCCGCTTCGTCAAATTTCAGAAGGTCGACTCGCTCACCATCGCCGTCCTCTCGAACCAGGAAGAAGCCGAGACCACCCGCATCGATGCCATCGACGTCTTTGGCATTACCAACCACACCACCGACATGAGCGAGCTGCAAAAGATCGCGGCAGAGGGCCGTGGTCGCGACTTTCCCCACCGACCGGCTTCCAGGACAGGCCTCAAAGGTGGCAGCCCGTCCAGCGCACCAGCCGCCGCCGCAAGTGGCTTCGCAGCTCCAAGAAGCTCCTCGATTCCCAATATCTCGACCTACACCGAAAGACCTGCTCGCCACACCCGCTCACACTCGACCTCGAGTTTAAATCCGCCCATGCCGCGCTACCGCCGATCGGCTTCCTCTTCCTCGGCGCCTCCCATGCACCACCTCAGCGAGGAAGAAGAGGAAGACGCTCCCGATTTCTCCGCCAAGCAGTACACCAGGCAGAATGCCACGCAGCCAGAGTTTGTACCACACGCTCCGCCTTCCATGACCGAGGGCGAGGAAGCCGAATTCGAGGCCGCACAAAGCGCAGCCCGAGACACGTTGGGAGGCTGGCACTATGCCCCCTTGGCTGTAGCACTCGCGCCTCCGCTGGGTGCTCTGCTCGGCGGTCACTCGGACGCGTGGTCGGACGCGATTCTGCTCATCCTCGCCAGCTTTTGGCTGTACCAGTTCCTTCGGGTGCCGTGGGAGATCTACTACGCTTCGAGGACCCGTCAGGTTCTCGCATACGACGAGGAGCAAGAGGAAGACGACGTTGCTTCGGAAGGCACGACTCCACGCCCAACTCACACCTCTGCCGAATCCAGGCAGCAGAACGAGACCCGTCAGCAAGCCGCTGCCGAGCTTCGGCGCTCGGAGCTGCTCAGCCTCCTCTTTTGCGTCCTGAGCCCCATCATGGGAGCTTACATGCTCTACTGGATGCGCGAGACCATGACCGACGGAAACAAGTACCTCAACGCGTTCAACATTCGACTCTTCACGCTAGCTGCGGGTGTCAAGCCGTGGTCGCATGCCATGGGACTCTTCCGTCGTCGCATGCTGCACCTCCAGGAGCAAGTCCATTACCCCTCGTCCAAGGTCGAGCGCATGAACCAACGCCTTCGCCGCCTCGAGGCTGACCTTACGAGCCTGCGCAAACTCTACGCCACCAAGAGCGAGGTGCGCATCTTGCGCGATTACGACGCTCAGCTTAGTCGGGCTGTTCGCCGCTCGGAGCGCAAGGAGGAGCATCTGCGATTGTCCGCCGAGGAAAAGTTCAGCATCGTCGAGAGCAGGCTGGAAGATCTTCTCCGCGAGACCGCCATCAATGCTGAGTTGATCGAGGAGGAGCGTCGAGAGCGCGAGCGCGCCGCAAGTCTGCGCATCTCGCTGTTCGAAGCCGTCAAGTACCTGCTAGGCTCAGGGCTTACAGTCCGCCGTGCAGGACCCAAGCACTACCTGCACGATATGCCGCGCAGCCTGCCTTCCACCGCCGCACTCGGCATCGGCACAGGCTCCACAGAAGCCGAAACGAGCCCGGCCGACCCGTCGGCTGGCGTGCATTCGCAGCCGTACGTGGGCCAGGCTTACGGCTCAGCTGTCACACCGCGCGGAGTGGCAAGCTCGGCCCCGGCGTCTGGCTTGGCCTCTCCTCCAGGCGCGGGCACTCCGCCCAACTATTCGGCGACGCCCCCACCCGGTGGCGACTCGCGCGCATCGCGAGCCAGGAATGATGCAGGTGCTCAGCGTTCGCGCTCGCGAAGCACGCCGCATCGCGTGTCTGATCCTTGGTGGGAACGCGGCGTGGCATTCTACCTCTTTCTGCCGTTAAACTTTTCAAGCGCCGCCATCCGTCTGGCTGGCGAAAAGCTCAAGACGGTGGTGGAAGATTCGGAGAACGAGATGGCCCGAAGCCAGAGGAAGACGCTGCAGTATCAGAAGCATCTGGCGGACCAGCAGCTGCAGCAGCATCAACGCAAAGTCTCGCATCAGGTTCTCAGTCCGCCGCGCAGTCGCCCAACTCCGCCCGCCATCAAGGTCGTCTCGTCGCCACCGGGTGCTGGAGGAACAGCGCACGGTACCAGCAGCCGTACGAGATAAAGGGCGACCAATACCATGTCACACTATGCCGAGCCGAGCCCTGTCTCGTTTCGATGCAGGCATTGGTCTTTGCTTGCAGTGTGACTGGCGATACCACTATCCATACCCGAAGCAGCACAAGCATGGCTGCCCAGCCAAATGTCACGTTGTTCTAACCCCTTCACCCTGTATATCATTGTCGCTCTTCCGTTATCGTTTCACTGCATGTATCCTACTCGCTCTCGTCATTCGAAATTGTTGTCACGGTCGAAAGGCTCGCTCGAGGGACGATGTTTGGGTGACTGGCTGAGAATGCTTTAGCAGCATGTGTGGGACTACGAGGCTATGAGCCAAAGAGCAGAAGCTACGATGCCTGCGCCTACGGTGAGCATGACGACGTGCACAAACTGCGAGGTGTGTGCGTCGTTGAGAAAGACGCCTTCGGTCTCGTCAAAGTCGACCTGTTCCTTTTCGAGCTGACGTTCTGCAGAGAGGTAGTCTGCGAGCCCCGTTGCTAGAGCGAGTAAAGAGAGCACGAAGAAGATTCCCGCAAACGCTTTTGATGCCAGTGGCAAGTTGTCCCAATCCACTGGGGTGTGGCTGTGTCTGCGTCGAGGATGTGACGACGAGCGGACAGAGTCGGGCAATTGAAGTTGCAGGATGAGGGAGGCCGAGAGGATAGCTAGCAGGCAAGAGAGACGAAGCCAGACGAAGAAATTGCGCTCGCGCGCGAGGAAGTCCCTCGCTGAACTGGACGAGGTCTGCTTGGTAGCGAAGAAGTCGCGAACTGCGATGACCGGTCGAAGAAACGCTCTTGTACGCGGCGCAGCAATCGTTGATGGCTCAGCACCGTCGCTAGCGCCATCGTCGACCTGGTGAATGGTGATGAGCGAACTGTCACGTCGAAACACCCTCACCCGTGGCGGTCTAGCCGCGCGACTTGCACGCTCACCCACCTCCCCTTGGGATGGCCCCTTGACCGCATCAAATGCAGACACTGGATGATTGGATCGAGAAGAGCCGGCATCTGGCCCTGGAGAAGTTGGCCGAGACGAAATCGGCGTGCCTTGCTTGGAGCTATTTGGTGAGCGTGACGAGACGGCTCTCGGATAGGCGTTCGGGATGTGAAGCGACAAGCGACCGCTTCCAGCACCGCTACTGCGAGGACCTCCGACGCTGGCTTCCGAAAGCCCCGTATTGATACGCTTCAAGCCGCTGCCACCGGCATTGCACTGTGATGATGGACCTGTCATGACGAGTGTCTGCAGTATTCTCGTTCCGGTTTCGAAAGGACGATCAAGGTGGAATGGTGGCCAGAAGGTGGTGGAGGGTGCTGTATCCATGCACGGATCAGCCTCTTTCCTTTTTTTTTGGGCGCGTGCAGGAGAGTGCATGACGTGACTGACAGGTGAAAGCTCGCCCTCGAACCGCGCGCGCCCTAACACTCACGAGCTCTTTTTCACCAACCTAACACTTTGAAAATGTGCGTCAAGCGTGAATGCGGCAACCGATGCTTTGCAGCATCGAGCGAGCCGGCAACCTGCTCGTGCCACGGCTGTGGTTGGCGGGTAAGACGCCCCGGCGGACGAGGTGCAGGATGGCGTGCGAAGGTCGTCGCGGCATCTGAACAGCTACAGTCCAACGCGCACACAGGACACAGCCAAGAGAAGAGGGCAGTCAGGGGTCGGGACCCAAGTAGGGTGGCTGAGGTTTTGGACCCTGGTTGGTTCGGGTGGCGTTTTGCCGCCGCACCGGCGCGCTGGATTCCGTACGAGGCCCATGCGGACGTGGCGGGAGGGCTTGGCTTGTGATTGGTGGATCATAGCCGCCCAGCGCCTCGAGATAGACACGGCTTGCTACAGCGACCGAGCTGGCCAGTTGAAACGCCGACAGCGCCCAGCTCTCCGCCAGCTTGCAAGGCGCATTCCATTGCCCGCGAGCATCAAGCGAACCTTTTCGAGGCCGCGACCCCACACCAAGCCCCGAGACCGTGGTGCACGCCACATCTATTCTCTGGATACCGTTCCCGTCCGTATCGCCATGCCACCTCGGCTCGCTAGCAAACCATGGTGGCTGCACTCGGCCAAACCATGCCACGGGAAAGCATAGTCCCAAGCAAAGCCAAGGCCAAGGCCGAGACGAGGCATGTGGCGCCGAGTCTTCGCCTTCCAAGCCGACACTGAAAGCCAGGCGATTCGACATTTTTGGCCGAATTCCAATTTGATGTCCCTGTCCAGCAGCCGCCGCCGCCGCAGCGTCTTGATTGATGCAAGATGCCAAAGGGGCGTCCCCTTTGTATGATGGGCACATGAAGCAAAATTGTGATTCGCAAAGGCGACATGTCGATTGTGCTTCTGGCCCGCCCACCGCCACCGGCATAACAGTATCGTGTGCCGAGCATCTCGCCCCTTTGTGTGGGTGACTTTACAGTAGGGCGAGTGACTGGACGAGCCGATTAGAAACTAGAACCCACCGTTGCGCCACCGCTTGCGTACGCTCGAAGCCAGTGCGTCCGATTTTTAGTGGGCCGCTCGCTATCTTGATTTCTGGCCTCCTTTCCGGAATCTCGCCTGGCCGAGCCGAAACGTCGTTCGCCCGTCACTTGGGACAGGATCGGAGCGGCCTCTTTTCAGAGATCTCGATGCGAGCGCTCGGCTAGGGCTGAGAAGCGGCCTGCTACGATTGTCTGCAGCGTCTCGGCTAGGATTAAGCGCCCGAAGCTACATTGGCGCCCAGGGGGCTTTGCACCTTGCGTCCACGCGGGCGAATCAGAAAGGAGTTCAGTCGGCGCACTCTGACGATCCGATGGCGAGACAACGAGCCGCGAATCCTCGAATTGCTTGGACCACAAAGGACTCTTCCTCGGTCGGCGGAATACAGAAGGCTGGCTCAAAGGGCCCAAGCGGAATACGTAGTGGAGCGTGGGGTTGGCGTACGCCTACCAAATAGCTGAATTTTGCGTCTTGACATGCAAGCACGCGGTGCCCAAGGCGACGCTAAATTAGAAGAACGACAGAACGACAGGATGACAGGGGGGAATGCTGGATTTAGCGGGTGGGGGAAGCCTGAGCCAACCGAGGCGGGCAGAAAAAGAGCTGGCGAGCCACTAGGAGCGGCAAGAGAAGTCGAGAAGAACGCCTGGAAAGCCCAACCCTGCATGCACCAGATGCAGATCTGTGCGGCGTGCAGCTGAGCGTGCATACATTGGCGATTTGGCTTCGCCCTCGCATCTGGCCGAGAATAGCTTTCTTGCAACAGCGGCAGCAGCATTCACCTCGCCTTGCTCTCCCTCGGCAGTACCAATGCCAAGCAGCCGGCGATCGAAGACGAGGCCTGAGCGTGGGTCAAAGCGTGGATGCCAGCGGAAGTTTTGATGGCGTCGCAAGGCATCCGAGCCACGGGGCAGAGAGAAAAAAAAAA